TAACACTCATCAGAGAACGAGTCACATAACTCGTATTGATTCCCTGTGAGTAACAGTAGGGGTCTAGAAGTAGGTGGAGTTGCTACAACGCGCATTATGAGCAAATGCAACCCACTCAGGCCAGCTAGTTCGCTACTTCCTTCCGAGTGTATTCCCAGTAGCAAACCTACGTAGAGGAATGGAAACAATCCATTGAGTGATTTCAAGCATACAGGCAGAACCGATACGATATTATGCTCTACGATAACACTTGACGACAGCGCGGCAACTATGTATGCCGCCATTTTTGCACCATTGGACATTGTGGCAACTATGTATGCCACACCATTACATTATTTTTTGCGCACATGCCTCGATTTCTTCCCAGGTTTTTTGTGTTCATTTTATAGGCCATACATCAACATAACCAAGAACCACGTGGCTTAAATATTCTTTAGTTTGGCAGAGGTTTTCCAGACCTTACGAAATGTCTGTTCAGTTCATTCCTCGTTTTCTTTTCATTAACGTGAATGTTAAAAAAAGAATAATAGAAGTGAATACAAACCTATTCGTATGGGAAGATATGTGTTTTTACTGAAACAACCACGTCCAAATTAATTTTGGAACCACTAAAGGGAAAGTAAGTAAAATTTGCCTTTTCATGGCCTAACACGTCATTTCGGTCGAACTTCCATTACTGTAACTCCCGATAAGTTAGACAGATCGAACATTATTGAAAACACTTCCGCATCTAAGTATTGCGTATTTACAGCTCAAAATCCATGGATTTGGTGTGCGGCGGCGGCGCTCGCAAAATCGCTCTTGTCCCACGCGGTGCAAAAACCCAAAACGCGCGATGTCGTCAACGTGTTAATACGGTGGATGGGGCTGTTCTACAGAAGTCATGGTTAAAACCCCTCCGAGGATACAATTTGAAGGCACTGGTCATTGATGATGGGTCAAGCCTTGACTACCATTTTATTTTTTTTCATGGCACTTGAAAGTGATTTGATCTGTGCTACGAATTGTGAGTCAACCAACGGTACCGTTCATTTCATTTGGTGTACCGGTTACGGTTGTTATCAAATAATCGAGCAAGGGGACAGAGGTAGAATTGGCAGGCCTCAAGGGCATCTATTCTAAAATTTTATCCCAAAATTATGCTCGGAGATGTCGTGCTACCTGCTGCTATGCCACATTCGCTATCATAAGCGATGTGGGCATCCAACTTATACTGTAATATTATATTGTTACTTTATATTTGGACGAGGAGCCGTAACAGAGAAGCCTGCAATTTGATCGTTTTATGTTTTTTACTTCGTAAGCCCGGACGAATGTGATGCCAGATTTTTGATGGGCCACGTGATTGGGGAGCGCTTACAATTTGCCCAATGATCGAGATTACATGTGGCGTTCTGTGGATGCGTCTTGAATCGTTTTTTTGATTAAGTGATTGTTGTGTGCATCTGTCGACTGCCGTCGACGTGACATATCGATCAGCCAAGTGCTTGTCGTCAACGGTGCTTTTGTATGGAACTGGCCTCCAGTGTTGTCAGAAATTTGACATTCTTTGGTGTCAGTGCCTGGCTTGAAGTACCTGAGTACCGGTACAGGAGATCACAAATGCTTTATATTGGCTGTAGAATGAGTGAGAACCGTTCCCCTCCTTCACTTCTTCCTCAGAGCATGCAGTTTACTTTCCCTTGAAGGCTTTTGACCAGCGCATCTTTAAAGACATCTTGCTTTGCTTGTTCATTGATATGTAGTTCTTTCGCTTATCAACCGTACGGCAAAGGAAGCCTGAAAGTCACTCATCTACATTCTAACAATCTGGAGATTGTCCATGCCGCTAAGTGCCTCGGCTGGTGGCATTGGTTCTTGTTGATAGCCTTACTTTTGGACTGAGGTGCTAGGGATGTTGCAGATTATAGAATGCGATTCAGGAGCCTTCGAGACTGCATGTCTTCAATTCGGAAGTGAGCACTGCTGCGGGAATTTCCACTTCAACCGTGCCTCTGACTCTTTGGAAGCAGTACGTGAATAAAAATTGAGGGAAATCGAATTACTGCAGAGGTAAATATTGGTCAGGTGCCGGTTTTTTGGTTTTTTAACTCTTTGGGAAATTCGTTTTCTGCATGATTGTTATGTTTAGGTTATTAGATAACTATCGATATGAACTAATTGTCCACTAGATCTGATGAGCCCACTGCCAGCACCGTTAATAGAATGTTAGTAAACGAAGATCTAAGGCCTAGTCAACTTGAAGTAACGGTCTGGAGTGATGCTTGAATGTTCAAACTTTTGGATCAAGCTTAAAGAAAGTTTCATTCATTAAAACCCCTCTATTATTAGCTGATTCGTCACTTTATTCTATGATTAACACCCTCCGACGAGGTATCAATTCGCATTAAGGGTTTATGTTTCCCCGATCAGAACCCATTATCAGAGTTATGAAGAGGATTCAGTTGCAAATCAAAATTAGCTTTAACAGAAGTTGATAGGAACTAGCCCCTCACTAAGATAAGATTGGGTTTGCACATTTTACTGCTCTATTTCTACAAAAATGTATAAGTTAATCAAGTCTTAAACAAGAGCTATTTTGGGTTCAACAATAGGCTACCAGTTAATGAGGAAGGCGAGTACTACAGTGCGCAGTCGGCTGAGATGCTTCACGGACACGACAAGCGGTTCACGTAAATGTTTCAGGGGGGAAATGAAATTGATCCGACTGAAAAGAGTTTAAAGTAGCGGGTAGTACGTAAAAAGCCCGGGTGACGCGAGTATTACATAGCACGGTCTGGGATCTCCTGGTCGTTTTTGTCCGGGGTCGCATCCAGAACATAAATAACCTTTCGCTTCTTCGCGTCGATTCGGATTGACTCTGAGTCGAGAAAATCATTCGTACATCGTTGCGGGTTGGTAGTTTTCTTGTATGGATTAAATTTTATTCAGATGTATGCAGAGATTTTAATGTAAGGAATGCATGGGCATTTTTTCAGCGGTTTTTTATAGGGTATATTAAGTAGTCATGGAAGATTACGCGGTTCCCTTGGATTAGGATGAGTAGAGAAAAGGGTAGAGGTAAATAAAGGACTGCCTTCTCCTTCTCCCTTGCTTTAACTCCGCGCAGTCGTAGGTTCTGCTGCAAATGGAGTCGACTACCATAAGCACGGAGGACGAATTCTCGGGCCGCGGTCTTTTCCCAGGCAACATCTTCCTTTCTCTGGAGTCGGGGGGTATATCCGTTGGCTCGCTCGGATAAGATGCAAATTAGTTTATATTGGGCTTTCATTCATGTGGGGCCCCGTTACATGCAGTGGATTCGGACGACCTGCAATGAAGTTGTGACGCGGTGGGGACTATACCAAACCGCCTGATCCAATGTCTTTCTCTTTAACACGAGATTGCTATAGTTTTTAAGGCTGTGTAAACAAAAGCTAGCTTTGAATAATGGTTACTGCGGTTAGAGGACTGGAATGTAAATGCAGTTCTATGATGTTTTTTTATAAGCGTTCTCAATTCTTTATCTGCTCATTAAATCATCGACGCCCAGGGCTTGAAAAAGGGTTAGAAAGGCAGTTTACCCGGACTCAGTGTTCACCATGTTGTAATGTTATGTGAGCATAGAAATCCATCAGTATGGAGAGCGTTCCTACGCAACAATACATCAGCGTTCTTTGGGGGCCTAATAGGCATTACGGGGCAACCTGTTTTGGTTCTCGTTTACCCACTTAATAAGGCTGGTCGTCCCATTCTAATGAGATTACTCTTCAAGGGAGTGTGGATGGAAAGTTAAGGCATTTATGTAGTCGAGGCGGGATGGTTTTTGAGAATGACTTGGAAGCGCTTCTATAGAGTGCGCGTCTTCAACGCCCATCTGTCACGTTAGCTAAAAATGGGCATATTTATCCGTAGTTTAGGCCAAATAATGGTATCTGTCGGAAATTTCTGAGACAACGATTTGGTAGCCACATCCCCGACTCCTTCCTGCCATTTCACATATTTCCTAACTCAGTCTACATCCTATCGAACATTACACTCCTGCGTGAAACTTTGGACCTTCTGCACAAACTTCTTCGGAACCCTGAAAAATTCTAAGCAAAAGAAGCGCTGACGATCTTACTATTGCCGGTTCCAATTGGATTCCCCAACCTTTGGTATATCGTGAGGCTCTGAGGCTTAAAGGCACCGACCAGGATCGAGTTGATGTGTCATTTTGTTCAAAAATCAGACAAGAACTATGATCAGGATCGTGAGTGGGAGAAAAAGCAAAAAGCGCCATAGAAACTAAAATTTTCCCTGTGAAATTGGCCGTGGTACGACGGAGAGACACAGCGCTGCGAGGAGAGGGAAAACGCGAGAGAGCACGTCGTACGCGAGAAGGCGCAAAGGCTACATATGCTGCGATTGATAGAGAAGCTGCGAAGACAAGGCAAGGCTTTAGCGCCCTTCACACGCACTTTCGGGACACAGCAGTATTGCGGCTCCGGGCTAGAGGACCCCTTTTTCTCACTCCGAAATGGGACCACCTCTTGGAACCACTGCGACCCGGGCTTTGAACAAAGCTTACTAGCTGTAATGGTAATTCTATAGGATTGTGGATGCTACTCTTGATACATCATCGCTGGGCCCTTTCTATCATAGCGATCTGAAAAGTTAAAGTAGTACTTTTCATCACGTATCCATTCGCCGCGGTTTGGGTTCCCAGCTTCTTCTGACTTCGGGAAAACTTGCGGTGGTGGGCTCAAAGGCCAGAGTGCGCTTGAGATTTCAAACTCAATTTTTTCGAGTTTTCTGGAGGGAAATCTGTTAAATTGAAACGAAGGAGCAATTATTCTTGAAGCTGCTAACGGTGGCGGTGCTTTACGTCTACAAATGAAATTCCAGCGAAAATGATCGGCCTAACATTGCTTTTAGCAATGCTTTCTTTTTTATCCTTATATCTCCTATGACGAATCAATGTTCGCTGGAAGCGTTTGTACTGTCGGAGAGGATTAATACTGTACATTATAGTAAACTATATGAGGAATCATCCCTTGGTGAGGCTTTATAGACTGACCTCTCCATCGAAGCCTTAGACAATTTTAGTGTGTTTTCGAAACATAAAATGAATTATGGGAGCAGAGGATCTTTAAATTTGTTGTATTGGTCTACCGAGCCAAGTTGCTGAAAAATTCCTCGTGAGGTTGGAACGTTTGTTTGTGCGGAAGGGACAGATCCATTGATAACGCTACATTTGACTGAGGAACCACTTCTCACTGTTCTACCTACACGAAATCGCTCACTATTACGTCAATTTCCTTACTGTATTCAGCTGAACTCTGGTAGCCGTCTAGCTCCAACGGGCAACGAGAACCCTTCAGTGGATAGCCTAGCGGTTAGCCACTGCAACGCTACTTCTACCTACAGCGTCGTAGTCGAACCGTCAGTGCAATTCTTGTGGACTGATAGCTACGAAGCCCAGAGCTTATTGATGTAGCGCGGCTAGATTTTTCCTCGAAATGTCCTTTACGTCACATCACACTGCGCTGAGTATCGCCTCAGATCTGAGCCATTTCCTTTTTTCCCTGAGAATATGCAGCTGTGGTGCATGACTGACGAGTATGCTTTTTTCAGGCCACCTACATCTGGATAGATGGAACTGGGGAGAATCTTCGAGAAAAGACGCGAACTCTTGACAAGGAAAAGGGTTTGGCCGGCAGTAAGTTTTTCTATAACTATTTTTGCTTATCTTGATTTATACCTAAGCCCATTCATTACAACCCTAATTTGCTAATGGACATCGTTGGTTCCTGCGCGTCACGCTCACCGACGCCTGCTGACGACACAGAAAACGAAGTGAATAGTTTGAGCGAGCTATCTTTTGATTCGCTTTACTGAGTGGCTGTTCGGTCCTTTATCCTGAAAAGGGCAACCACTCAAGCTTAATTAATCAAAACAATACCACTGGGAAATTCCCGGAGGTTCAGGCAGGGAGGCAGCGGAGGGAGGCTGAAGTGGGGTGGCGTCTTTGTGATTTGTGCTTTTTGGAGGGAGGTTGCCTCTAATGGAATTGGGCAATGTCTACGAGGGAGCTGGGGGAAATGTTTTGCGGGTACCTTCCAAAAATTCCCATGGTTTCTGCTGATTCGTTAGCTATATTTTAGATTATCTTCCCTTGCCCATACATCCCCCACTGCCCCGCCCATCCCCACCTCCCTCTAATTCTGAATGTACATTCGTAGGAAGATAGGGATAGGTCCCAGACAATGCACTAACTTGAGAACCACTTAGGAAGGGAAGGGGTGGAGGTTCGCGCTGATTCGCATTTTCCCATGTCAGAGCGGGTCTAGTTTTGTCCTTTGAAAAAGCGTATTAGCAGGCGCTGCAATAAATCGTATGCGAAAATCGCAAAAAACGTTACCATCTTGTTGCTGAATAAATTAGGGTTGGACTTCCCGCTCAGGAAATGCAGGCATTTTTTGCAGGCATTCTTATGCGTCATGTTATGTAATTATATATAGCTTGAATTAATTGTTATACTCATTCTGTCGTTCTGCTTCAGAATTTCCGACCTGGGATTTGACGGATCGTCGACCTACCAAGCAAAGAGGCGAGGATTCGGATTTTGCATTTGAAGGTATCTTTGTCTATTATATGTTGATATATAATTCAAAGATTGGTTATTGATGATAGCGCTTAGGTATAAAATGCTATCAAGAATAAGGAGTAGTGAGTTATGTAAGGTTTCAGGCAAGACATGAACCCGCGATGCAAGGTTTTTCGCTCGGTTTGCTACCTCAACTTTCCACTGCATTTCTTCAACTTTAGTGGCTGAAAAGGGGGATTTTCGTTCTCTTCTTCATGAAATACACCACTTTCTTCTCGTCATGCAAAGCCAAATCTCTGAATTGTTTTTTACATCCATTCTAGTCCTAGCAAAAAACTGACCCGGATTTTTGGGCTTAACTAGATTCCTAGCAAGTCGAGTGGGCCAAGCCGAGAGCTAAGGGCTGTGTCATCGAAGGCACAGCTTTCTTATCATGATATTTTTCAAGAGCTCTAGTTCAAGATCTTTGTCCTTTCGAAAAATCCTGTAAAAATAGTCCAAGAAACTGGTAGTAGTAGCTCCGTAGCTCACCCAGGAATAGTTTCGATCTCGCAGGTTTTGAAAAGATTCAAAGCATGAATAGTTAGCTACTCATTACTGTTTGTGGCCCATAACATTTCCCGGCACTATTTACCCTTTAATGGCCTCCTCCGTTTTTCCCCGGCTGAGCATTTCGCTAGAAACTTCCTTCCGGGTTAGGTCGACCCATAGAATACGAATATCGTTTGTCGTGAAAACGCCTGACGCTTGCGTCACAAGTGCCGGCGCCAAAAGGCGCCAGAACACCTCGGATCACCAAATTCGCTGGAAACTTGTCTCAGAGGTAGTTTGACCCGTAGAACATGAATATCACATTAGTTCGTTGCGAGTGAGCCTGTAGCCTGCGCTACGGGCGCCCGCGCAAAACTATTGTGATAGCGCCAGCGCCTGTGACGCGGGCGCCAATCATTTTCGTGTCAATCTGATATGATCTGTGGGTTCTAGGGGTCTGAAGACGATTTTATAGCCACATATTTAGCCATGGAGAAATTTCGTCAAAATGGGGCTCAGGTTTCGAGGAATGGGGCAGTAAAGGGTGAATAGTGCCGAATTTCCTTCTGAACTGTAAGCATTGAAATTCATCACAAGGTGGCTGAGTTGTGGCTAGACAAAAAACTATCTCAGCCGAGATTCAAACTCGATCTCGTAATTCCTGATCAGGCTGTTATCGGCTACTCAACCGAGGCTATGTTTTGCCTCAGCCTATCTGCAAAGGCTATGTGCACTGAAAATGGAAATTAATCGAGCATTCATATGCATTTGAGTCGTAGTAGTTGTTTTATTTTTGCCACCTGCTCTAATCACTAATTAATTACCAGCAGGATTTTGCTCGATTGATTTGTTTCGACCATTTGAATGGCATTGGCAAACGTTTTCTGGCAGCGCACTGACAAGGCGTGTAACAGACGTCGACATGTTTCGTCTTCGTTCAATGATTCACGGCAGAAAAAAAAGAGCAAAAAAAAGCACTGCGCGTGCATAACAACACAATAGCACCGAAAATTGGCCAGTTCTATTCTACAAAGGGCAAGGGCGAGAAAATTCATGGATTCAGGGGAAGCTCTACTTTTAAAGTTCATCATAGAAATTCCGACGAAATCTGACAATCAAATCGCGCAAATGTCCGCTCGACATCTCGAAGAGCCCAGTCAGTAAACACTATGTATGTACACCATGGGTATGGCCCGAGGGAGAGCGCAAAGCCTGTGACGTGCCCGGGCTACCTGCTTTCCTATTCCTTGCCCATGCAACACCATACGTTGACCCTTAACTGAAACTGCAGACTCCGTTCCGATTTTGTTACGCTGAGAATATTCAGCCATCGTCCTGGAGCGAGTTGCAACCCGCTGAATTCCTGCTGCAACCGCTGACTCGATACCATCTCGTTTAGGGATAATCCGATACCCTGGGATAGGCTTGGGGAAATGTGTAGCGGAATCGGTGACGCAGGCTTTAAGTCCTATAATAATGCACTATCATTCACAACTAATAGCTTCAGAAATAGTTAAGGTTACCAGAGTTTTGATGTTTTTCTGACCATTCTATGTGAGTTCCTTTCAGCCAGTCGTCAGCTACCCGGACCCATTCCTCGGAGGCAATCATAAGCTCGTACTATGCGAAACATTGGATGCTCACAAGAAACCAACCAGTAAGTTCGCATGTTCGTTATTTATAACACAAGCTTTCTTGGGTGCACCATCGAAGGCTTATTGCTTTCGAACAGAAATTCCTGTAAATTTTTTAACGAAGTACGCAAATAAACGAAATGCGCATGTGAAATGCTCTACAAATTTCAAATGTTCACATCTTGAATGCCATGTGAGGGATCCCCTTGAAGTGTTGGTGTAGCGTAAGGGGAGGAGGTAAAGCTCATCCTTAAGCGCCCACTTACTGAGGGGCACTTGGCAGAGCCTTAGATTTAGATTTAGATTCAGATTTATTAACAAGTAACCTTTTTGCCAACTTCAAATAATGACTGCCAGCTCTAAACGTGAAATTTTTGGCACGCAAAGCAGTCTTAGGTTGAGTGAGCAAAATCTTACTGGATCCTCCTCTTGTTCTCGAGGGCATTATATTGAAAACATTACAGAAACATGACCCAGGTAGAGACTGTACCATCTTGTGGACTAGAACAAAGATCAAAGATTTTACGCCTAGATTGAAGAGTTGAGTTGATAGCCCCAGATACCTGTTCCTAGTCGCCGCATTCGGTACATTGCCATAAGGGAAGCCACCAAGTCGAAGAAGTAACTTACGAGTGAAATTATTCTGAACCTTCTCCAGCGCAAGGATATGCTTTCCTTTTGAGGGATTGAAAACGGTAGAGCTAGATTCTACCAGAGGACGCACATATGATTTATAAGCACGAAGTAAAGCTCCTCTGTTTCCGGTCGATAACCCCTTAAAGATTTGAAATGTGCGAGTGTGGGCCATTCTAACCCTATTAGCTATGTGCCTCGAGAAATCCAATTTGTTATTATAGCTGAAACCCAAGTCTTTTACCGTCCAGTCCTTCCCTCTCTGTTTGGTTGCCCACTGCAACTAATTCTCGGGTGTTTTACCTTCGTACTTCCCCGGTCGCTGCTTTCATAGTACTGAGTGGTGATTGTCTGATTCACTAAGGTCACTGCATAACATGTTTTTGAGAGTTTACAGAGCACAATAGGCGAATGGGTGTTCTTCCATTAGTTAAATCCATTCCTTTCATTTCCAATAAGTGTTCATCCATTTTCAAAAGTTTCACATTTAAAACGAATTTTTGTGGGCAAGTTCGACGCTGACGTTTCATATAGGTTTCTTAGTCAGAATGAATTCTGAGCATCAGCAGGTTGAAAATGCATTGCATACCTGCTTGCTCATGTTGTGAACTCTAATTCTGTCCTTCGTCATTCATTACACTTTACTGCCTTCTCGTTTTTTTCGGTGGAACAAATGTGCAGAAAATGTTCCATGTGAAATTCCTCTTGGCCAAAGAGGCGTTAGAGAGTGTGGATCAGAAGAGAGTGAAAATGTTCAGGACTTTGCCATGATGTTTGCTAGCTGAGCCGAGTCTTTTAACAATGGAAATAAGGGGTTAAAGATTACAATGCAGCTGCTCTCGACAATCTTGGGAGTCTGATGCTTGGGGTTTTGAGCCCGCCAAAAGGCACTGTCGTCAGAAACGTCAGACTAATGCTCTAAAAAATTGGGTAGATTCATATACTATGAGCTGCAAAATGTCGGTAAACAAATCCAACATCCAGGAAGTTCTGATTTCGAAAAGTAATCCTTTCGAAACGGATCTCCTGAAGCAGTTCGAGACTTGAGGGCGTGGTTGAAAATTGTAACATATAGTATTTGTATGAGTTGGCAGGTGATACGTTCCTTCTACGCCGCATAGCAACACGAGGCTGGAG